AACCTTGAATAAGTTAAGGATAAATTACACTTTGCCTCTTTTAGATTTACAGTATTGTTAGGGATCATGAAAAAAATATTATGAAAATGATCATGAAAGATTCTCAACCTTCAGATTACACATACAATAAAATACCACACATTAATCAAATGATGAAAAATCTTCATGATGCATTTCATGATATTTTGTTCATGGTCCCTAGTATTATTCTTATATTTAACTACATTCTCATTTTAGTGCTTAAAATTTATTTTTTTCTCATTTTAACCCTTTATATTTCAAGTTTTTTTTCCAGTTTACTCCTAAAGCAAACTTTTGTTCAAAATTAGACAGAAAATACAATAATAACTGTTACATAACATAAAAAATATATTATTATATTAGGATTTAAGTTTATGTTAGAGATGTGAGTTATATAATAAAATATTTTTGTGCTATTTTTCTGTCTAATTTTTAATAGGGATGGGAATTTGGCACGTAACTTGTTAACACGACTCGAATCGTAAACGTAATTAGAGGGACAGGGTTAACTATTTTTTGACTCGAATCCAAATATAACATGACCTGAAAACACGAATACTAAATGGGTCGTGTTTGGGTTGAAGGCGCGAAACCTGAGATGGATACGTTTGACCCGCGTAAAAATTCTTGTCGACGCGTTGACATGAACCCACTATTGACTCGCATGTAACCCGAATATAACCTGAAAGAGTAACCATAAAATCTTGAGTAATTCATTCTCATCTATTAGATTAAAAACTTAAATATCTATATAATATATATACCAATGAAGTGCAATCCTAAATTAATGATAATTCAGTAGAAGTTAAGATTGGTAGACAAGAGAGTTTTTAAACGTGTGGCAAGAGTGCTTTTGTGGCAGGCATCAATGTGAAAGAATCACAACAATGTTATTTTGGATGTGGTATAGCTGCAACATCATTATTATTAGTTTGGTATTTGATGAAAATTTGTTTTGCTTTTATTTGATATTTAAATATTAATGAGCTACAATAGTTTAGATTGGATGTGTAATGAATTAATGATGAATATTTTTAATTATTTTCATAGATATTGGCATATATATATATTATCATTGTGTGTCAATATTTAAACAAATTATTCTTATGTATGCGATGCGAAACAAGTTTTGTTTTTTATTTCTAAAAATAGGCTGTACATTTTGCTTATAGTATGAAACATGAACTTACCAATTGCATTAAGTGTGTCATGTATTGACACGTTTAATTAAATGGGTCAGATTAGTATTGGATTGTTTTGAACACAAACCATATATGACACAACACAAAAATGACATGACACGGCACAATTCCCACTCCTAATTTTTAACAGAAATTAACTTTAACAATAAAGCGGAAAAAATTTAAAATATGAAGGAAAAAAACAAACTTATGGCTAAATTGGAAAGCGGCCAAACATAAAAGGGACGTCGTGTAATTTATCCCTAAAAATTAACTAAAAAAAGTTATTTTAAAGTATGAAAAAAAAATTATATTAACTCCGCCGAGGTTGTTAACAACTCCGCCGGTCCCAAGCCCGGGTTAAGGATGAGGGTTGTGTGTTAGGTAGCCGACAGCCAACACGTAAAAAAGCCGCTTAGATCCCTTATGAAAATGAATCCTACTTTGAATCGTTTAAATGCTAGGTCGTTCCCCTCAAGTGACGCGTTACGCCTGCCTCCGGGTGTTTTGAAAAGTGAGCAAGGGGCGCCGCATCGACGCCTGGGTGCAGTGAAAAATGGGCAAAGGTTTCCGCGCTTTTCTAGACGAGCGTGGGTAAAGAAGCTAGTCCAAGACTATAGGTTTAGGGTAGCCACTTGGAACATAGGAACCTTAATTGGTAAGACGATGGAATTGGTAGATGTTATGATTAGGAGGAGAGTTAGTATAGCTTGCATACAAGAAACTAAGTGAACGGGAGAGAAAGCTAGGGAAATTGAGGATACCGGTTTTAAACTATATTATAGTGGTAAGGATAGACGCATGAATGGGGTAGGAATCATAATTGCCAAGGGTCTTGTGGAAAGTGTAGTGGCGGTCACTAGGAAACGAGATAGGATTATGCTAGTTAAACTAGCTATTGGAGGGAATATAATGAACATTATTAGAGCATACACCCCTCAAGTAGGCTTAGATGATCAGACTAAGAGGGATTTTTGGGAGCAAATGGATGAGATCTTACAGGAGATACCCGTAAGAGAGAACCTGGTTATAGGTGGAGATTTTAATGGCCATGTGGGCATAGATAAACTAGGTTATGAAAGGGTGCATGGTGGATACGGTTTTGGTGATAGAAATGAGGCTGGAGAGAGTATCTTAGATTTTGCGTTGGCTTCTGACCTGGTGGTGGCCAATACTATGTATAAGAAGAGGGAGGAGCATTTGATAACCTTTAAGAGTGGATTAGTTACGAGTCAAATAGATTACTTCTTAGTGAGAAAAGTGGACCGCCTAAAATGCAATGATTGTAAGGTGATTCTTGGAGAGAGTCTGGTCTCTCAACATATGATTTTGGTACTAGATTTATGTTTTAGAGGGCAATACCAAGCTAAGAAGGATGGTGGGCGTCGTAGGACGAGATGGTGGGACCTAAAAGGGGATAAACTAGAAATATTTAAGAATCGAATGGTTAAGGAAGGTACTTGGGACTTAGAAGGTGATGCTAACACTATGTGGAATTCGATGGCCAATTGTATGAGGAGAATCTCAACGGAAGTGCTTGAAGAGTCGAAAGGAACGGGACCCAGCTCTAGGGAACTTGGTGGTGGAGGGAAAAGGTTCAAGCGGTAGTTAAGGCAAAAAAAGAGTGCTTTAAAAAGTGGCAGAATGATAGAACTGAGGAAAACCTTAAGAGCTATAGATTGGCTAATAAGGAGGTCAAGAAAGTAGTGAGAGAGACCAAGTTGAAAGTATGTGATGACCTATACACTAGACTAGATAGTAAGGATGGAGAGAAGAGGGTATATAAACTTGCTAAGATACGAGAGAGGAAAACAAGAGATTTTAATCAAGTAAAGTGCATCAAGAGTGAGGATTCTAAGGTATTGGTGAAGGATGATGAGATTAAGGAAGATGAAAGAATTATTTTAAGAAACTATTAAATGAGGAACATGGAGGTACGACAATAAGGGAAGAATTAGCCAGTAATACGATAAACCAAGACTATAGGTTCTATCGCAGGATTAGGAACTTTGAAGTAGAAATTGCACTTAAGAAGATGAAATCAAATAAGGCTTTAGGACTCGATGATATCTCCATTGAAGCTTGGAAGTGTTTGGGTAAAAAGGGAGTTGGTTGGTTGACTAGGTTGTTTAGCAAAATTTTGTTGACTAGGAACATGCCAGATGAGTGGAGGAAGAGTATTTTAGTGCCAATCTATAAGAATAAAGGCGATGTCCAGAATTATAACAACTATAGACGAATCAAGCTAATGTGTCATATAATGAAAGTGTGGGAGAGGGTGATGGAACGCCGATTGCGAGATATAACGGAGGTGTTAGAGAATCAATTTGGGTTTATGCCTGGGAGGTCAACAATGGAAGCGATCTATCTTTTGAGGAGAGTAAAATATGTTTCATATATATAACCACTAATTTATAACAAATTTTACATCTTAAATCTCTCTCACACTTATTTTTACTTTGATATTTTATTAGAGATTAAAATATATATATATATATATATTAACTATAAAAATATTCCCGATATACCACTTTTCCCAAACTAATTCCAAAATTGTTGCAAGTTCTGTCAAATCAGGCATTTGGAGCCTATGGATGTTATAGGTGGGATGGATTTGGTTTGTTTATTTTGGGTATAATGCATTGAGTTTGAATTTGGCGATAAGCATCCAGTTTGGAGTTAGAGCATTTACAACTTTAGACATAGAAGAGAAAGAGGAGAGAGGAGAGAAAAAAAGGGGTATTGAAAAATAGAGTCCTTTATGTTATGGGGATGAAATTCCTAATGAGGCCTAAGGTTGGATGGGAAATCAAAACAACGAGTGAAATTCAGGAGAAGTGAAGATTGAGAACCAAGAACTGCTTAAGAGTGAACATTTTCGTTATTTAGGGTCGATTATCACAACAACGGGAGAGATTGATGCAGATGTGACCCATAGGATTAAGGCGGGATGGTGTAAGTAGAGAAGTGCGTCTGGGGTATTGTGCGATAAACGAATGCCCACTAGACTAAAAGGTAAGTTTTATAGAACGGCTATTAGACTAGCTATGTTGTATGGGACGGAGTGTTAGGCAACCAAGAAACAACACGTAGATAAGATGAGTGCGGCTGAGATGAGGATGCTAAGGTGGATGTGTGGTAAGACTAGACAAGACAGGATTAGGAATGAGTGTATTCGGGAATGAGTAGGAGTAGCACCGATAGAAGATAAGTTGAGAGAGAATCGTTTGAGATGGTTTGGTCATATTCAACGGAGATCAACAGAGGCAGTAGTGAAGAGATGCGATGCTGTAATGGTAGATGGAAGTGTTAGGGGACGAGGTAGGCCTAGATTAACGTTGACAAGCGTTTTAAATAGAGATATGAATCTACTTAATTTGACTAATTAAATAGCCTTTGATAGGGCCGCGTGGAGAAGAAGGATTCATGTAGCAGATCCCATTTGATGGGACTTAAGGCTTGGTTTGGTTTGCTTTGATTATGAAAAAAAAATTATATTAAATTATATTTTGACCATGTGGACATGTTTAGGATTTTTTTTATTTTATTTTGCATGAGCTTGGGAATGAAACATAAGCCCGATCTCAAGCTGGACGGAGCTTGAGAAAATGAGTTCAAGTTAAAACATTGTAATGGATAACAAATTTGGGTCAGTTATGAGAAAATATCTAATGTGTACCGCATAACATGTGGTGTGTCATTCTACTAATAAGATTGCACAGTTATTGCCTTTTTTACATTTAGAAAAGATGATATCTAATAAGTCAAATATACAAAAGAACATGAGCTAGAGTTCTCAATCAAAAAGGCATTCCTCTATTAAACTTTTAAAAGAATCTACTCAATACAATCACTCCAAATAGAAAACCTTAGCTTTGAATCAAAGCTGGCATTCCACCTCAATAGTATTCTAATATATGGCTGATTGGCACTTTCACAAAACGCCTAAATTACCACATGTTGGAAACTCTTCCTTTACAATTACACCTTTTCCCATCCCACTAGCAGGAAGCATCATCTCCCACACCTTTCAATAAAATAAAGTATTATTAAAAAAAATATAAATAAATAAATAAATGAAAACCATCAGCAGCAGCACTCACAGTCCTCTCAAGTCCATGGGCCTCAAATTACCAACTATAAAGAAGGGCCATCCATATTCACATCTCAAACCAACCACTAGAGTGCCATGCCATGTTTTTCCTATTCCTCAATTGTGTTCTCTTCTCTCTCACCCTCTTCCTAGTTTCTTCATCAATCTCATCATTCCCTCAGTCTGCCATTTATCTTCTCCATTTCCGCAACAGCCTTCCAGAACCTTCTCAGCTTCTCTTGCCATGGAATCAATCCACTTCATCTTCTTCCTCCCATTGCCAATGGCCTGGAGTTTCATGCTACTCCAATATCAATTTACATGTCAAGTCCTTAAACCTTTCAGGTTTCGGTATTTCAGGAACCTTAAATGACTCTGTTCCCAATCTATGCCGTCTTCCACATCTCCTCTCCATCGATCTCAGTGGTAATAATTTCACCGGTAGCCTCTCTCTGATGCTCGGAAATTGTTCCCAACTGAACACCATTCTCCTCAATGATAATGCCATTACAGGTCCAATCCCACCAGAGATTTTCCATTCCAATTCCAAGCAGCTTTTGAAGCTTGACTTGGGCTTTAATTTCCTCTCTGGCACAGTTCCTCCTGAGGTAGGCCTCTGCACCAACCTTGAATATCTTGGACTGTATGACAATTTCTTGACTGGACAGATTCCAAGTCAATTATTTTCTCTAGAAAATTTGAGGTTTTTGTACTTGAGTACAAATAATTTCACTGGTGCTTTACCGGATTTCTCATCCTCATGTTCTATTTCTGATCTCCGCATTCATGAGAACTCATTATCCAGTTATTTACCTCCTTCACTGGGCAGTTGCCACAACCTCTCAGTGTTTTACGCGTCTTATAACAGTATTGAAGGAATCATTCTACCTGAGATTTTTAAAGGTCTTTCACAACTTCAATGTCTCTATCTTGCTAACAACAATCTCCAAGGAGAAATTCCTGAAACACTATGGGGTCTAGAGAATTTACAGGAGATTGAGCTTTCAAGAAACAATCTCAATGGAAGTATATCCGAAAAGATTGGTCAATCTCATCTGCTATCTATTATTGCTTTGTCTTATAATAATTTGATCGGTCAGATTCCAAGCTCAATTGGTAATCTCAGGAATCTAAATACTCTGGGACTGTCCAACAATATGCTCAATGGCTCAATACCTCCCGAGCTCAGCAACTGCACTTCCCTTCTTGAAATCGGGCTTCAAAACAACTTCATTGAAGGAGCAATTCCATCTGAAATTTGCTCTCTCCAGAGTCTTCAAATCTTTTACGCGTTCGACAACCACATCGAAGGCCAAATTCCTCAACAGATAGGGAAAATGACCAGTCTTGTTGAGTTGGCTCTGTATAACAATAGCATAACCGGTACAATCCCATATGGAATTACTAATCTGACAAGCCTAACATTCCTTTCTTTAGCTCATAACGATCTTACCGGAGAGGTACCATCTGAGCTTGGAAAAAACAACATGCCCGGTTTAGTTAAACTTGATTTAACCGGGAATCGATTCTATGGACCAATTCCTTCCGGCTTATGTGCTGGCAATAGCCTTTCCTTTTTGATCTTAGGAAACAATCGGTTCAATGGGACTTTTCCTGTCAACATTGGAAAATGTAAGTCTCTTAGGAGGGTGATTCTGAGTAGCAATCTTCTTCAAGGAAATATACCAGAAAATTTGGATATGAACATCGGAGTTTCTTACTTGGACATTCGAGGAAACTTGTTCACTGGACAGATACCCAAAGTTTTTGGTTTCTGGAGCAATCTCTCAATGATTGATTTTTCTGGAAATATGTTCTCCGGCTCTATACCTCCGGAGCTTGGAAGGCTCCGGAATCTTCAAACTTTAAAACTTTCTTCTAACAGACTGGTCGGAAGGATTCCCTCTGATCTGGGTCGTTGCACAGAAATGACCAAAATGGACCTCAGCAACAATAGCCTTTCAGAGAGCATTCCTTCAGAGATCATAACAAATGTGAAATTGCAGAGCCTCATCCTTCAAGACAACAACCTTAGCGGACTCATTCCCGATTCTTTCTCTTCCAGCCAAAGTCTCTTCGAGTTGAACCTTGGAAACAACATGCTGGAAGATCCTATCCCTTGTAGTCTGAGTAAACTTCAACATTTTAACTTGGTTCTAAATCTTAGCAATAATAGGTTCTCCGGTGAAATCCCCAAATGCCTCAGGTATCTTGACAAGTTAGAAATTCTTGATCTCTCAAGCAACAGTTTCTCAGGTGCAATACCACCAGAACTGAACAACATGATCTCCCTCTCCTTTGTGAACATATCATTCAACAGGCTTTCAGGCAAAATCCCAGATTCTTGGGAGAAATTATTGAGTTCATATCCGGGATCTTTTCTAGGAAACCCCGGACTCTGCTTGCTTGGCACTGAATCTAATTATTGTAGCGAAACAAGAAAATCCCATTCAAGACTCTGGATGCTGGTTGGTGTGACCATAGGTGTGATTCTCTCTGTGGCACTACTTTCCATCGCAGCTTATATCTTAGTGATCCGAGGCTGTCAAGATCAATTTGCCTCTCACCGTTCTCTTCTTTATGACAGTCGATCAAGAACTGAAGATTTACCAGAGGATTTAACATTTGATGATATCATGCGTGCGACTGAAGGCTGGAGTGATAAGTATGTGATCGGGAGAGGCAAGCACGGGACAGTTTACAGGACAGAATCAGTAAAATCCAGAAAGCATTGGGCTATCAAGAAAGTGGAATTGTCTGAGACAAACTTTAGCATTGAGATGATGACTCTGAGTTTGATTAGGCACCGGAATGTGGTGAGAATGGCAGGGTATTGCATCAAAGATGGATATGGGTTTATTGTGACCGAGTACATGCCAAGTGGGACTCTCTTCGATGTGCTGCACAGCAGAAGCAAAACTCATATGGTTCTAGATTGGGAAACGCGATATCGGATTGCTATTGGTATTGCACAAGGCCTTTCTTACCTTCACCATGATTGTGTACCACAAATCGTCCACAGAGACGTTAAATCCGATAACATACTGTTGGATTCTGAAATGGAACCAAAGATAGGGGATTTTGGAACAGCCAAGTTGGTACGTGATTCAGATGGAAGCTCAACGAAGTCTGTTATTGTCGGAACACTGGGATACATTGCACCAGGTACGTTGTTTTTACCATTTTTGCAGTTTCAGAAAGCTAATCTACTCTGAACTCTTATCTTATGTTTGCTAATCTTAAAAACAGAGAACGGATACTCAACTCAGTTGACAGAGAAATGCGATGTGTACAGCTACGGAGTTATTTTGCTAGAGCTTGTCTGCAGAAGATTGCCTGTAGACCCGTGCTTTGAAGAAGGCTTAGATATTGTCTCCTGGGTAAGGAAGAATTTACAGAAAAAAGATGAGAGCTTTTGGTTCCTAGATGAAGAAGTCGGTTTCTGGGATGTGAATGAGCAATGGAAGGCAGTGAAACTGCTAGATTTGGCACTTCAATGTACTGAGCAGGTGGCTCAAAGTAGACCTTCCATGAGAGATGTTGTTGGATCTCTCACAAAGTTGAATGGTAAACATGAAAGATTTGTACAAAACAGAGAAAATTAGCTTTCTAACATTCAACGCAAAGCTTCCACAGTTTTCATGTGCAAAGGATGCTAGACACTACTTACAGGGCTACACGTACAGATGTATCTTGTTATCTTGTATTTCATGATACACTTCTTTTTGTTAACACCTGCTACGTAGTTGTTAGAATCTTAGTATTCACTGTTCAATTCATACAGTTTAATACGAGTATTCGATTCATATAAATACGAGTATTCAAGCAAAATGATTTGATTCATACTGTTGAATGTTAAATTGAGTGAAGAGTATGATTTAATTGTGATCCATTTTGTTTGTATAATGTATTAAACGGTGTTGTTTTAGCAAAAAATATAAAAATAAATAAATTATATTAACATATATGATTTTATATGTATATATGTACACAATTTAGTTATGTCAATATTTAGAATTAATTACACAGAGCTTGAGGTATCTGACAACTATATAGACCTCCCCATGATTTTTGAAATTACATCGATCTACCCAGTCAAAGTTGTCAGGGGACCGTAACCATCTAAAATTGTAAATTTACTATTTTATCATTCTATATTAACTCTTATTTAATCAATATAACCAAACACCCTTATTAGATTTTGTGGGTGCACTATCCCACATCGCTCTGTGAGAGATCACAACTCCATTATATTAGTGGACTAACTCCCTTAGACAAGATTTCGAAAAGCGGTTGCGGTGGCGCAATTGCGATTGCGGGGTATAAAGGCCGTAGTGTAAAAGTTAAGGTAACCAGAATTGTGATTTTTTTTATTTTTCGCACAATTTGAAGAAAATCCCGATACGCATTTTTATTTATTTATTAATTTTTTTAGAAAATAAACTATAAAAACTCAACTAAACAAAAATGTTCTGGCTGTGAATTGGTGGCTCAGCAAGATCAAAACTGTGAAACAAATTATTGTTAAGGAGAAGAAGATTTTATTTTAATCTAGTGACATTGCTATGTTTCTTCTTTCCAATTTTATTTTATTTTTTTTCTACCTTTATTAATTACATTCATGACAAACTTAAGTTTACAAGGTCAAAGGCAAATATTATAGCATAGTGTGCTTCACATGTTAACTCTTTTTATTTTTTATTTTCTCTTTTTTTAAGAATTGAACTGGTTGTATCTCTTTCACCACCACTCATGCATGGAAGGTCATTGCACTATTAATAACTTAAAAACCAAAAAAAAAAACTCTCTTTTAGTTAGGCTCATTCCCTTATTATAAAGTCACATGCCTGGCCCAGTGACTAATAAATTGTATATAGGAATTTTTTAAGCCCATACAGTCAGGTTGGACTTTTTTTAGGTCCAACCCAATTTGATCCAACCCGATCCATTTACAAATTATATTTAACAATATATTTTTATATTTAAACATATTTATATGTATATTTTATCATGTTTAACTTTATTTTTATAAGTCAAGGATAAATTACACTTTGCCTCTTTTATCCCATCTCAAACCAACCACTAGAGTGCCATGCCATGTTTTTCCTATTCCTCAATGGTGTTCTGTTCTCTCTCACCCTCTTCCCAGTTTCTTCATCAATCTCATCATTCCCTCAATCTGCCATTTATCTTCTTCATTTCCGCGACAGCCTTCCAGAACCTTCTCAGCTTCTCTTGCCATGGAACCAATCCACTTCATCTTCTTCCTCCCATTGCCAATGGCCTGGAGTTTCATGCTACTCTAATATCAATTCACATGTCAAGTCCTTAATGTTGTGTTTCGTTGGGAGATTTAAAGAGTGATTTGGAAAGAGAAATAGAAAAGGTAGGTAAAATATGAATAAAACTGACATGGGTAGGCCCCTAAAGGCTACAGCCCACCATGAACACTCAAGCCCACCACTTAGGGCCCAATACATAACCTAGCTGATAAGGCCCAACACTATCTGGAAGTCAACATGGCATGAAGGACCAATGATATTCAGACACATGGCAGGTAAAGGGCAAGCCACATCAGCAGACAAAGATCTGCAAAGTTATTGCCACCGCACATCGCCATTAATGCAGCCCCTCACTGCATTTATTACGACAACACCTCTCCATCAGGACAGCACGCCCTCACCCTGAACAAGGTAAGCTACAACATAGACTTTTGGCCAAGGTGACAAGTCGGAAGGGACAACGAAATTATTACCAAAGGATATAAGCAAACGTTGAAGACGAGAAGAAGGTTAAACTTTTCTATCTCTAATCTATCTACATACTCCACTCTCTCTCTCTAACTTGTTCGTCGGAGGGTTCGCTGGGGGACTCCCCGTTCCCCGTTAAACTCTTGTGCAGGTTCTCTGGTGGGCTTGGTCATTGGGATATTAGGCTTGAAGAGCGTGGATCAGTCTAACCCGTCTTACCATCATTGTTGTATCATCAGTTGGCGCTGTCTGTGGGAACGCTTTGCTCCTTGCGGCAGTTTTGTTCATTATCGCCGGAGACCCTGTCCCAATAACCCTTTCTTGCTGCCCATCAAAGTGTATGGTCACGACTAGATCCATGGCTTCTCACCAAAATGCCGCCGACCACCAAGCCACCCCCCCAATCCAAATAACCGACCACAGTATATCATCGAGCTTACTAACAGCATCAACCGCATGGCCAAGCAAAACCAAGCCCTGATAAATGCTCTACTCCAAAGAAACCTTCCTATGCCCCCTCTACCACATCCAGATATTCCGGCCAACCAAGAACGAACCCCGAGCCATACTATCCTGCAGCCCTATCCACCCAACTTGGAAGGCTTGCAACCTCCTCCTCCTAATATGAATCCCCTACCCCGGCCCTCGCATCCATCGCTCCTAGCACCAGCTCCCGAAGGGGAGGCCAGTAGCGTCCAACCCCCGCTGCCTTCCGGTGGCGATAACATCCCTCTTTGGGATGCAGAACTCCGAGCCATGAAGCTCCAACTCCAAGGGGTCATACAGAACATCCAGCATAAACCCTCTACCACCGTAAACTCACCATTTGTCGCCTCCATCCGGGACAAACCTCTACCCCCCAAGTTCAAAATGCCCACCATCGACTCTTTTGATGGTACGACGGACCCAGTCGACCATTTGGAGACCTACAGAACCCTCATGATCCTCCATGCATTCCCTAACGAGATCATGTGTCGAGCTTTCCCTATGACACTGAAGGGGTCAACTCGGCTGTGGTTTAGCCAGTTACCAGCAGACTCCGTCTCCACTTTCCAGCATCTCAGTGACTCCTTCCTCAGCCATTTTATTGGAGCCCAGCGCCAACGTCGTCCGGCAACCCAACTCCTCAACATCCACCAGACCGAGGGGGAGTCCCTGCTCAGTTTCGTTACCCGCTTTAACACCGAAGCCCTGCAGGTGGCGAAAAACGATGATAAGGTCATCCTTACAGCTTTCATGGCTGGACTACGGTCGTTTGATTTCCTCTTCTCCCTCTCTAAAAACCCCCTCACCTCCATGGCAGCCCTACTCTCCAAAGTCCAAAAATACATGAACGCAGAAGATTCCCTAGCCGCTCGCCAAGACCCTACAACAAAAAACCTGACCTCTCGAGAAAAGCGAAAAGACCCAGAAGCCAGAAATACCCAGTACAATAACCAAACACCGCATTATACAGACCGACCCCCCCGAGCCGACCGGTCGGTACCAGCCCGACCGCCCGGCCGGTTCGAACGGTATACACCCTTCAACTCTCCCATGGAGCAACTCTCAACCAGATCCAGTGGGATTACCCTCTCAAATGGCCCCAACCATCACGAACCCCCTCCGGTCAGAAAGACTAGTCCAAATATTACCGTTTTTACCAAGACCACGACCATAACACCGATGAGTGTGTTAACCTCAAAGATCAGGTCGAGACTTTCATACGTCAGGCACGTCTTAGCTAGTTCACGGACACCCGCCTTCAGTAGAGGCAGCGAATGAGGCCCCCAGAAACAACCGCCGGTGCACCCCTCCCCGGCAACCAGCCCAACCTAACCAAGGCCATGATCACCCCCCACAGCAACCTCGGGCACAGGGTAACCCCGCCCCATCTGTTGGAGAAATCAGAGTTATTTCCGGTGGACTTGCTTGTGGCGGACCATCTCGCTTGGCTCAACGGGCAAAACTCAGAAAAATAAGGCAAGGCTCAGATAAAGAAATTGCCACGTTGGATCGACCCTCCAAACAGCCCAGGCAGTGGACTGAGCCTATCACCTTTACGGACGCCGACTGCACAGGCATTCGTTACCCCTACGACGATCCTCTCGTCATTTCAGCCCTCCTCTCCAACTACAAGGTCAGACGGGTTCTCATAGACAATGGCAGCTCTTCAGACATCATCTTCCTCAATTGCTTTCGTCAGCTCAAAGATTGGGGGGGAAAGTCTGTCTCCTCTCCAAACCCCTTTGGTCGGTTTCAACGGTGACCGGGTGACCTCCATCGGCTCCATCGATCTTCCTATCACGATCGGCGAGTACCCGCGGCAGACCACGAAGTTGCTCACTTTCCTTGTTGTTGACTGCCCCTCTGCTTACAACATCATCCTTGGCCGAACCGCCCTAAACGCTTTCCAAGCCATCATCTCCACCTTCCATCTTGCCGTCAAGTTCCCCATCGACCTTGGGGTCGGCACAGTCAGGGGAGAACAAACTGTGGCCAGAGAATGCTATGTTGTCTCACTTAAAGAAATTAAGCTTAAGGAGACCATGATCATTGAAGGACTTGACGTCCGAGATGAGGACGAGTTGGTCAGAGGGGAGCCTGTGGAGGAGCTCATTGAGGTTCCTATCGACCCTGCTAACTCGGCAAAAATTGCCAAAATCGGCAGCCAACTATCCACCTAAGCAACGGCCGACCTTACTGCCCTCCTGATCGAGCACAATGATGTATTCGTTTGGACTCACTCAGATATACCGAGTATTGAACCCTCATTCATGACCCATCGCCTCAGCATTGAACCCCATTTCTGACTTTACCGCCAAAAGCAGCGCATTTTTCATCCGGAACGCAACACTCTCATTGCTGCAGAGGTCGACAAGCTCCTTGAGGAACAATTCATCAACAACGTAGACTACCCTAGATGGTTATCAAACGTCGTCCTGGTCCGTAAGAACAATGGTAAATGACGACTTTGTGTCGACTACTCTGACCTCAACCGAGCTTGCCCCAAAGACAGTTATCCTCTCTCTCGTATAGATCTGCTAGTTGACACCACGGCCGGTCATTAAATTCTTAGCTTCATGGATGCCTTATCTGGGTACAGCCAAATTCTGATGCACCCATCTGATCGTGAACACACCTCCTTCATTACCGACCGAGGTACCTACCATTACCGTGTGATGCCGTTTGGACTGAAAAATGCTGGGGCCACCTACCAACGTTTGGTCAATGCTGTCTTCCATCATTAGATAGGTCGGAATATGGAAGTTAATGTCGACGACATACTAGTCAAGAGCAAACTCTCTGCTGATCATCTGACCGACCTGCGAGAGACCTTCGCCACCCTGCGAAAGTACCAAATGAAACTCAACCTGGAGAAGTGCGCCTTCGGCGTAGGATCTGGGAAGTTTTTGGGTTTCATGGTCAGCCAGCGAGGTATTGAAGCCAACCTTGAAAAGATCAAGGCCTTCGTTGAAATGCAGTCACCCTGAACAGTTAAGGAGGTTCAAAAACTCACTGGCCGAGTGGCCGCCCTCAACCGCTTCATTTCCCGCGCAATGGATAAGTGCCTCCCCTTCTTCAAAGTTCTTCGGCAAACTTTTGAATGGATGACCGAATCTGAAGAGGCTTTTCAACAGTTGAAACAGTGCATGGCCAACTCCCCCTCCTCTCACAGGCAATCACGGGCGAACTCTTCTTCCTCTATTTAGTTGTGTCAAGCACCGCAGTCAGTGCCGCTCTTATCAAAGAAGATGGCTCTGTCCAACAGCCGGTCTACTACATCAGTCGGGCTCTCAGAGGAGCGGAGCAGAATTACGCACTGTTAGAAAATTGTCCTTGGCCTTGGTTACCACCTCCAGACGACTCCGTCCTTACTTCTAAGCCCTTTCCATAGTGATCCTCACCGACCAACCCTTGAAGAAGGTAATGCAGTAACCAGAACTCTCCGGCAGACTCATGCAGTGATCAGTGGAACTCAGCCGGTTTGACATCTCCTACCGACCTCGAACAGCGATTAAGGGGCAGGTTGTCGCCGATTTCATTCTAGAATTCACTAATCCTACCCCAACCACGCCCCCCCAATTCCCACCAACTCCTACCGACCCAGAAGACCCTCATTCTTGGACTCTCAACGTCGACGGATCATCTTGCAAGGAAGGCAGTGGGGCTGGTCTCATCCTCACCGCCCCTGAGGGTGGTTATTTCAAATGTGCTCTCTGTTTCTTGTTCAAGGCCAGTAACAATGAGGCTGAATATGAGGCATTGATAGGAGCTCTCCGCCTAGCCCGGGATATTGGTGTCAGCCACATCCGGGTGTTCAGCGACTTCCAGCTCATTGTCGGACAAATTACGGGAGAATTCGATGCCAATGAGGACACAATACGAGTTTACAGGGACATAGCACTCCCCCTTGTTCGCCTCTTCAATACCTTTAACATTAAGCACATCCCTCGGGCGAAAAACTCTAAGGCGGACGAGATGTCTTAGTTGGCTTCTGCAGACCAGTCCGATCTCAGCCATGGTGTCCGCCTCGACTACCTAGCCCACCCTGCCATTTCCCCCAACCAGCAAGAAGTCCAGTTCCTCCAAAATGAACCCATCCCTTGGGCCGCAGACATCTTACTGTATCTAACAACAGGGGCACTTCCAGACGACAAACAGCAGGCCGCCAAAATCAGGGCCCGGTCGGCTAATTACACTCTTGTCAGCGGACTCTTGTACAAAAGGGGTTTCTCACACCCATACCTGAGATGCCTCAATCCTGCTCAAGCGACCTACGTAATGAGAGAGGTCCATGAGGGTATATATGGCAATCATTCAGGCGACAGGTCCCTAGCCCACAAAATACTTTGCACTGGTTATTTCTAGCCTACTCTCAATCAAGACGCGATAGATTTTGTTCTCAAATGTGACAAGTGCCAACGTTTTACCAACATCCCCTACGCCCCTCCCACAGAATTGATTACCCTCTGCAGCCCCTACCCCTTTGCCAAATGGGGGATCGACCTGGTTGGTCCACTGCCCACTGGACGAGGCCAAACCAAATTCGCCATTGTCGCCATCGATTACTTCACCAAATGGGTTGAAGCAGAACCCCTTGCCATCATTATCGAGCGGAACACAACCAGATTCATCTGGCAGTCAATCGTCTGCAGATTTGGCATCCCTCAAGCCATCGTCTCCGACAACGACAAACAATTTGACAATGCCAAATTCAGGAAATTCTATGCAGAGCTTTAAATCCAGCCATGTTTCTCCTCCCCAGGCCATCCCCAAGCCAATGGCCAAGTTGAGGTCACCAACCGTTCTCTTCTCAAGATTATCAAAACTAAACTGGAAGCTGCTAAGGGACTCTGGGCTGAGGAGTTGCCGAATGTACTTTGGGCTTACCGCACTACTATTCGGACTCCCATAAGGGAGACCCCTTTTTGCTTAACATACAACGCAGAGACGATCATCCCAGTGGAGATCGATCTTCCTACCCCAAGGGTTCTACATCCGAATCCAGAACTCAATGAAGAGCTGCGTCGGGCAGGCCTAGACCTGATTGAAGAGCTCCGAGAAACAACTGTAGTCAGACGGGCCTTATACCAACAGAAAATGAGAACACATTACAACCACAGAGTTCGACCGAGGGAGTTCGCTGTGGGGGACCTTGTTTTGCGAGAAGTAACTCTTGCCACCAAAAATCACTGAAGGCAAACTGGTAGCCAAATGGGAGGGACCTTACGTTGTGAAATCCAGACCAAGACCGGGCACTTACCGACTTCAGGACATGGAAGGTCGAGACCTCCCTCACCCTTGGAACACTGAACATTTGAAGTGCTATTTTCAGTAAAAGTTGTATTTTTGTATCGTCCAAAATGTTGTATGTTCTTTTTGACAATCTATGTTCTCATTTTCTCCTCATATAGTGTAAATTTGTGACCCCACAGACTACACTTTGTATAACAGCAAGCTTATATCTCAATTATCTGTGGTATTCCAATAACGCTTTGATTGCAGCCTCAGCCAGACTGAGCATGAAGAGCTCGACCAGACCGAGTCACCTAAAGCCTCAGCCAGACTGAGCACAAGAAACCTCAGCCAGACTGAGCATGAAGAGCTCGGCCAGACCGAGTCACCTAAAGCCTCAGCCAGACTGAGCACAAGAAGCCTCAGCCAGACTGAGCATGAGAGCACGGCCAGACCGAGTCACCTAAAGCCTCAACCAGACTGAGCACAAGAAGCCTCAGCCAGACTGAGCATGAAGAGCCCGGCCAGATCGAGTCACCTAAAGCCTCAACCTGACTGAGCACAAAAAGCCTCAGCTAGACTGAGCATGAAGAGCTTGGCCAAATCGAGTCACTTAAAGCCCCAGCCAGGCCGAAGCCACCATTGCGACTTCATGATCACAAGCACAGTGGCCGTATTTTCTCACATTCACTCTGCATTGAATTTTTCTTACGAGTTAAAATTCACTCTACATTGAGTTTCTCTCATTCACTCTGCATGGAATTTTTCTTACAAGTTAAAATTCACTTTGCATTGAGTTTTTCTCACATTCACTCTGCATTGAATTTTTCTTACAAGTTAAAATTCACTCTGCATTGAGTTTCTCTCATATTCACTCTGCATTGAATTTTTCTTACAAGTTAAACTTCACTTTACATTGAGTTTTCCTTACATTTTACACTTTACAATAATTTATGCATAAGCCTTATACAAGTCGCATTTCTCATTCATTTCAGATGTGCAAACAAAAGCAGTAACACGAAAACAAGACTAAAAATTTTATTTATTCACAAACTTGTACATAAGTTTCTTACAGTCATTCACAGAAAAAAAAAATAAAACAAAACAAAACAAAACAAAACAAAAACACAAAACAAACCCTAAGCACAGGATTTGTTCACACCAGTTACTCCTCCTCACTTGACACCAGGTCTTCTTCTTCAATGCCCTCATCTAGGGGGGTCTGGGCCACGTCGTCTTCATCAATCCTTACACCGCTAAGGTCCAAGTCAGGGAACAGTTCTTCTGCCTTCCGTTTGAACATCTTCCAGCCACTGTCCCAGAACTCAGCCATTTCGTGTTTGTAGAAGTCCGACCGCTGGAAGCTCTCAATAACTTCTGCTTCAGTCCTGCCTCCAGTGGTCGTTCCCGACGGGCCCGCCCCCCCAGTCATCTCCCTTGCCAAGTTGCTGGCGACCGCGGCGTCGATCGCCATCTGGAAGTCAGCAGACCCCTTGAATTGCTCTACTGCTGCAACGTAAAGATCAGGGTATGCTGCCCTTTCAGAGGCTGCCTTGGTTTTTTCTTCTTCCAACTCCTTATGCAACCTTGCCTTCTCCTCCATCGCCCTAGCATGCTCATCCTCTAGCTCCTTCTGCAGTCCAGCAATCTTCACGTCTGCTTCATCCTTCTCTTTGATATACTGGGTGCGCAGTTCTTCATTGTTGATCATTGCTTCTTCAAACCGCTCGGTGGTGACTGTGCAGGCATTTTGAGCATCCCCCAGTTTCTTTTGCTCGCCAGCCAGCTGGAACTCGAGCGACACCACCTTGTGGCGTTCGTCCTCTAGCTCCAACCCAACTGCCAGCAGCTCAGCATGAGCACGATCGGCAACATTGCCCTGCACGATCGCCAATACTTTCATCTTTTTTGCCTTCTCGGCCTCCTGCCAACCCCTGGCACACGCGCTTCGCGCAGCCTTCTTCCAGCTTGCACTCTCTTTCTTGAAACTTACAAGCTGGGCCTTAGTATCCTCCGACTTGACCTTCGCAGCTGCCGCCTTTCTCAGCAGAGCCCCTACTAAGGTCGTTACCTCCATTTGGGTAGAGCACAACCCTCTTAGCAGCTTAGCCTTATTGAACCTGGCCACGAAGCACACGGCTGCGTCGTCCATAATCCCCACAAAGCGATCTGCAGCCGCCCTAGCTGGGCCTTCCTCTCCCTCCAACCGCTCAGACACTGCGCGAGCGTGGTAGATTGCAGTCATCAGTCTGGCCCCTTCTCCTTGGGGCGCAGGGACCCCCTGGGGCTGCTGCTTCATCACTTCCTTAGGGTCAGCTGACCCACTCTCCATCACTTCCTCTAGGGCCCCTTGACCCTTCTCCTCCTGCGCCTCTAGGGCAACCACCACTTCTGGAGTAGCCTCTACCATTTTCTCCCCTCTCTCCTCCGCCATCAGAATGCCCTCATCACTCAACCTGGACTTCTTCGACCCAAGCGTATCTGAGGCCCCCTCAGGGGCAACCCTCCTCATCTTCTTCTTCTTCAAGACCTCCCCCTCTTTGTTTGTCTTTCTTTCACTGGGTCTACGAGAGGCGGTCGCGGCTCAAAACTGCCCAAGTCTTTTTCCCCTAACGGCTTAGGACGCAGTCGGATTCTTTCCCTCGCGATCAGTTTTGGTGGTGGGCCTAACTGCACCTCCTTGAATTTTTGGGCCCTGGCAAAAATGGTCTGATCTTCTGCCTCCTGCGCCTTTCTTCTTGCCTCTAGTTCTTCTAGTGCCAGATCTCCACCGGTCAGCTGAGGACCCAATCCTGCGGTAAACAAAGCGGACGGCTGGACGAGATCGTCCCACTTGACACCCTCCTTCTTCCTCCAGGCCTTCACCTTTTTCACCCTCTCCTCCGCTGCAGCCCCCAGCTTTGGCTCCACAGACTTGGTAGGCACTCTCCACACCATTCGCACTCCCACTCCCCTGTTCGCAGACATGTAAAACCACCGCAACCTCTATCCCTTAATTGATGACGGCAACCCCGCCACCAGACCCCTCCCTGCCGCCGCCTGCAAAGTGACCCAAGTTTCTTGCTGGCCTGAGGCCTTGTAGCACGCAAAAAACTCGTCTACCGTCATAGCCGTCCCCTTGTTCACGTTCGGCCACGCACTTGCACAGGCCTGTACAATCTTCCACGCATTGGGCATTAGTTGACCTGGCACCAGTTCCAGTCTGTTTAAGACATCCACTACTACCTGCGGAAGCGGCAACCTCAACCCACCCTTCAACGCCTCCTCGTAGAGGGCAAACTCCCCTGGCCGGGCGTCAGACGGCCTCTCCGTTGGTGATGGTAGCATCAATTCTATTTCTAAGGAAACATGGTATTTTTTGCACATACCCTCCAACTCCCCCACAGTAACGGTCGACCTGTCAGCCTTCGTATGCCAGTGATCTGGCTTAGCCTGGTTGATTGGCTTCGGAGCGGCCATCAATGTCAACGACCGCGGCGGTCCCGCCGGCCCCCCTACTCTCTCCACTTGCCTCTCCGTCCTATACTGTTCTGCTAACTCCACCGCATCATCGTCCCCTGGTGGATCAACCCTGGTAATTTTAGCTTCTTCCTGGGCCATTTTTGTCGTGTGTCTGCGAATGGCTTCGGATGCGGGCGCAAGAAAGTTCAAAAAATTTTGCAAGGGTGTATCACTTGCAACGAAGGAGTCTACACTTGGAATGTTTTGATTTTTCAAAAAAAAGTAGGAAAAACGTATAATCCCAAAAGCCCAAGGCTTGCCTGTATTCCAGGGGTCATAATTAATTGCCACCAGTTTGAAAAATTTTCAACCATCCACTAAAACTATCTTTTCAACACCCATTATGACCTATCATTTCACCTTTGGCCCAACGCCTAACCTCCCCTACCACGAGACGATGCCACGTGTACGACTACGATTCACTGCACCCTTCTCCTACCCTGTCTTTTCCATTTCAAGTCACCACGTGACCCGCCGCTTGCCACTTCTCCCATCGCGGTTGGCCCTCCTCATGGTCGGTCCCTCCACTCGGCTACCCCTCGCAGTCGGCCCTCCTCATGGTCGGCCACCCCACTCGGTTACCCTTCGCGGTCGGCCCTCCTCATGGCCGGCCACTCCACTCGGCTACCCTTTGCGGTCAGCCCTCCTCGTGGTTGGCCACTCCACTCGGCTACTCTTCGTGGTCGGCCCTCCTCGTGGTCGGTCCCTCCACTCGGCGACCCCCCGCGGTCGGCTCTCCTCCTAATCGGCCCCTACGCTTAATCACTCCTATCGGTAGGGCCCCCTCCTGCAGATCTCTAACTACCCTCATTTTCTTCATTATTCCCTTCGTTGGACTAAAGCTGCACTCGGGAATGGGGGACTACTGACATGGGTAGGCCCATAAAGGCTACAACCCACCATGAACAACTCAAGCCCACCACTTAGGGCCCAATACATAACCCAACTGATAAGGCCCGACACCATCTGGAAGTCAACATGGCATGAAGGACCAATGATAGTCAGACACATGGCAGGTCAAGGGCAAGCCACGTCAGCAGACAAAGATCTGCAAAGTTATTGCCACCGCACATCGCCATTAATACAGCCCCTCACTGCATTTATTACGACAACACCTCTCCGTCGGGACAACATGCCCTCACCCTGAACAAGGTAAGCTACAGCATAGACTTTTGGCCAAGGTGACAAGTCGGAAGGTACAACGAAATGATTACCAAAGGATATAAGCAAACGTTGAAGACAAGAAGAAGGTTAAGCTTTTCTATCTCTAATCTATCTATATACTCCACTCTCTCTCTTTAACTTATTCGTTGGAGGGTTCGCTGGGGGACTCCCCGTTCCCCGTTGAACTCTTGTGCAGGTTCTCTGGTGGGCTTGGTCATTGGGATATTAGGCTTGAAGAGCGTGGATCAGTCCAACCCGTCCTACCATCATTGCTGTATCATAAAAAACATACCTATATTTTACCTAATTTCACACACATTTTCCCTTTTCCTTTCCAAATCTCTCCCCAAATCCCCCAATCAAACATAGCGTAAACCTATCAGGTTTCGGTATTTCAGGAACCTTAATTCTGTATTTGGTTGGGGGATTTGAGGAGGAATTTGGAAAAGAAAATGGAAAAGATAAGTGAAATGTGAATAAAATATATTTACATTTCACGTAGTTTCACACACTATTTCTCTTTTTTTTTTCTTCTAAATTTCTCTCCAAATCCCTCAACCAAACACAACGTAAATGACTCTGTTCCCAATCTATGCTGTCTTCTACATCTCCTCTCCATCGATTTCAGTGGTGATAATTTCACCGGTAGCCTCTCTCTGATGCTCGGAAACTGCTCCCAATTGAACACCATTCTCCTCAATGATAATGCCATTACAGGTCTAATCCCACCAGAGATTTTCCATTCCAATTCCAAGCAGCTTTTGAAGCTTGACTTGGGCTTTAATTTCCTCTCTGGCACAGTTCCTCCTGAGGTAGGCCTCTGCACCAACCTTGAATATCTTGGACTGCATGACAATTTCTTGACTGGACAGATTCCAAGTGAATTATTTTCTCTAGAAAATTTGCGGTTTTTGTACTTGAGCACAAATAATTTCACTGGTGCTCTACTTCATTTCTCATCCTTATGTTTAATTTCTGATCTCCGCATTAATGAGAACTCATTTTCCAGTTATTTACCTCCTTCACTGGGCAGTTGCCACATCCTCTCAGCAATGGCGGAGCCAAGAAATTAAGGTAGACGGGACACTTTATAATTTAAATTTTTTTGGTGATCAATAATAAAATAATAATAATTTTAGGGTCCAGCTTGTCTCAAGTTGAGATCAAGGCTAGAATTGTCCAGTCCCGCCCATGGGGCCCTTTTGGGCCCGTTTTGATAATCTGAACCGTTCAATGTGTAAAACTCGTCGAGTACTATATGCCTGTAAAAAATCACGTTGATCAGATATCAATAGCTATGTGATCAAATCAGTTTTGTATAAAAAAAAATAGACGGTGAAAAAATTAACGGTTGATAAAAAACTATTTTGTTCACATAGCTATCGATATCCGATCAACGTGATTTTTTACAAGCATATAATACTCGACGAGTTCTACACATTGAACGGTTCAGATTATCAAAACGGGACCCGTGATGGGCCCTCACGGGCCCAACAGCACAGTCCAACCCGATCTTGGACTAGACCAAAGCCACTGCTTAATTTTATGAGCTAAATTTAAGTATAAAATTTTAATTATTTATTATTAATAGCGACTAATCAAAATTCCTTTAATAATGTGAAATAACTCGGACACAATAGTAATGTAAGTATGCAATTTTAGCACAAAAAATTAAAAATTAAAAATCTTAATTTTAGAAAACAGAAGCATATCATTTATACCACAATTCATTATAAAATTTCTATAATTTTTATTTGATAGAAAAATATTAGAGTGATAGTATTAATTATAAAAATGTGTTTTGAATAGAAATTATTAGATAATCCCAGAATATTATGTGGTGTTGATGACGTAGTGCTTTGGATATAAGAAATCGCAACTCATACTAAGTGATTCACCTATTATCTTTAAATTACCTAACAATAATGAGTTACTATGTTCCATTTATAAAATTTGACACTATATTATTGATTTAGACCACCACATAAATAATACCACATGGCGCTTTTTTTTGCATCCATATTATTCTCCGGATTGCCGCCTACTATGGCATTCTAATGATCCACAAATTTTGTCCCATTATTCTCAGGTTGAGTCTGAACCATGTTTAATTATGTTAGATGAGCTTAAGGCAGTGTTTGGGAAGTTTGTTTTTTGGTTTTTTTTGGTTTTTTTCACTAAAAGACAAATAGGTTAGAAAACCAAAAAAAACAAAGCCAAACAAAATATCACATCAAACCCTATAATCATTTCACTTTTTTTCTCACAAATATCACATCCAACCACAAAAAAACTTAACTATCTTCCCAAACACAAAAAAAATTCTCCAATAATATTCTACAACTAAAAAAATCTACAAAAAAATCCACTTCCCAAACACCCACTAAAAGATTTAACTCCAATTTGGCAATAGAATCAAGGTGTATTGCATTATTGTTGAGATTTTCTATTGTTAATAACGCTTTTAACACTTTAATCAAAATTTCACTTTAATATTTTTACTTTTAACTTTGAGAATCAACCTTTTACATTAGGTTAAGTTACAATATCATTTTTTATTCATATGTCATTAATGAGGTTGATTAAAATTCATGAGCTCAAAAGATATTTTTCCAAAGAAACAATATTAAAAGTGAAACAACTAATATTTTGGCACTAAAAATGAGAAACAATATTAAAATGTCGCTACAGGGTAGTATGGGATCCGTAGTAGGCTAGAAATCACACCCCTTTGATCAAGTATGCTACCAATCCATTTTGACCTCTTATTGACCTCTTATTCTAGTATGTGTTTACGACCTCTTAAACGTATCCATAGGTCGACTTTCCAACCCGAGGGATAACCCT